TTTATATTTTTATTATAGAGAACTTGTCATATCATTTGTATAGAATATTCTATAGAATTTCTATAGAATATGCAAGATGTCAAACATGTTGGTAGGAATATACTGGTCAGACACGAATGTGTCAGTAAAATATTGAATGAAACAAAAAAAATTAAAAACATAGAAATTACATTAAATATGTGTATATAGTATTTTATAGAATTTTATAGAAATTAGTTCCTCTATAAAACAATTTAATAGAAAATACTAATTTCTGTAAAAATTGATTAGTCTCTATAGAAGGTCTATAAAATTCTATAGAATTTTTATGTATGGGACATGTGTCGGTTAATTTCATCTATTAAACGCAAATAAAAAGTAAGTAAAATTTGTTTTTATATATCTTTGTAAAAATTATTATTCTTTGAAATTCTTTGGCAACAGTTGGTAACTTAGTTATTCGTAAGTGTTGTGGCAGGGTAGATATCTAGAGGTGATGGTGAAAAAAATGAACTGAAAGGGTCCTAATAATAGGGTATGAACGCTATATTCCGGCCTAGATTGCCTGCCAATTCTTTGCTTAGCTTCGCGTGAGCCCTAGGTTGTTATTGTGCTAGTTCTTATTATCAGGGAGGGAGTTGTAATTAAGAATAATGTATCGCATAGGCCTAGGTTATGTGTAGGTTGGTTGTGCATCTGATCAGGGAGTTGTTATCACTATAACAACTGCCTGATCTAATTAAGCTACAATAGTTAGAACTTTGTCAGTCATAACACTAGTCAGGGATACTATAAAAATGGTACCATTGTACATATTGAAGACGGCTGCAAGCCAAAAAGCGGCTGCCCTCATAATAGTATTAGTATACTGTATGTGTAGCATTAATATTTAATCGTACAGTATTTTTCAGGTACTTTTAGTATTCAGTATGCACAGCTTCATACTTAAAGATCATGGATATAGTCAAACAGGTAGCATTTTTGTTCAACATGATATCCATAAGAGGACTATACTATGTGTTGTTTACCTGTGTAAGAATATAGTTTAATAAAATGGCCCCCTAAAAAAATGTATGTTTAATAATATGTCTTTCATTAGAAAATCAGAAAATTGCTTTTATTTAAAAAAAAAATAAAAAATGAGGGTTCAACTAAATACTTCCACTGAATTATACAGTACATAACACCATTCTTTTTAAAAAGGAAGGTAGTGTGTTTCTTAAAAAATTCTAGATTAAAATTTTATATCAAACTTATCAACACCATTGTTGTTGTCCTCAATTATTTTGAATGAAAAATAATTAATTACAGTCAGGTATGATTCATTTGTACAAATACTGTGAATTCTCTTTATATATTTGTAACCTTCAATCTTTTTTCGTGTCAAATATATTTAAAATATAACTTCGTCCAATATATTTCCTGTATACTACTGACAAGATCAAAATTACATATGAATATAAATAATAATATATGAAAATGATGGGTATTGAATTAAATAATAATTGTAACACATGGTCTTATATTTTCTTACAGAATGTAATTAAGTCCTTTCTAGATGGAAGCAAATTAATTAATTAAAGACCATATCTGTAAAATGTTTACCAATAACTTCTGTAAATTTAGGACTGGGGTTAGATTAAATTATTGTTTCCTATGACAAGGAAAATAATCTTCAATTCTGTACATAATTATAAATCTAATCCCAATATACCTTTTATGCCTAGGCCATATAATCTGTCACTAAATCAAAGTGCATACTGCATTTTATTTCTATTGTTATAGTTATTTATTAAACAGTATTTATTTTTTAAATTGACCTCAATTGTTTTCCAGGGTGAATATATAAAGAAGAAAACTCTACTTATGCTAGCCATCGAAAAGATGATGAAGAGATTGCAAGATGTTGATCTCCAGGGGAGCAGACCTCACATGCTGACACTATATAGGCCTATACCTAATATACCCTAGATACTTTAGTTCTCATACAACATCAAATATATAATTGGTAACACAGTTAACCTGCCTAATAATTAGTACCCAATAATTGTATGATTCATTTGTACAATTTACTTATTGCTTATAATACTGTTGTAACTATCAATATTCTTGTGTAAAAATACAGTGGAACACCTTCTTTGCAGTCACTCTAACTTGAGAGGACTCTTTTTTGTCAAATGAGGAAAAATAAATCTTTTACCACTACAGCCAACCCCTACGGGAAGGGGACACTTTCTGAGAGTGCAAAATGGTGAAATAAACCTCTGTTCAGGGAATTTTATTTTTCATTGTATCACAACTGCAGCAGTCTTAAAATAAGAAAAAAAGTAATTGAATCTTAACGTTTTAGCATATTTTTCTCTGTTTCTCGTATCCTTTTTATACATGATTCTAATACATACCTTAAAACACATTTTTTTCCTATATTTTTATAGTTCTTTTTGAATTGACTCGCATTTGATTTTACAGGGTGGATATATGACAAAGAAAATTCTGCTTATGCTAGTCATGAAGAAAAAACATGAAGATATTGCACAGATGTCGATCTTGAGCGGAGCAGATCTCACATACAGTGTCACTGTAAGTATCTGAACTTTGTCATCTGTCATTATAAAATAAAGTAAAAAATACCGTAGATTTCCTTTTTTGGGACACCAATTATGAAGAGGACAATTTTTTTTTTATAAATGAGGGGAAAATATATCGGATTTGTCGATAGTGGTTGTGGGAGAATGCACACCACCTTAGGTTCACCACGGTTAGGGCTGAGGTTAGACCATTTTGAGAATATGGTGCAAGGAAAGTGCACTTATATAAAAAAAAAATGATAAAAATGATATAAAAATTGTAAGTTGTGAATATTAACCATGGGGACTTGTAAGGCTCTGATCTATTTGTGCCACAAAGAATTGGTTATTAACATTGCATCATGAAATAATGTTAGAAACATAAAACTATTGCTGTATTAATTATGTATTTTTTGATTTCATATTATAAATAAATTGTATTATTGCAAATTATTGCTATAAATTTGATCTCAAGCTTTAATTAATTGGACGATTTCACATTTTTTGGTTAGTGTCTTAATAGGGATTTCGACATTATTTAGTCCTTTATT